TAAAGATAATAATTAAGTATTCTGTTAGAATTCAATAATTATCCTAATTATATTTTAGATTTTTTATATTTAAAATGAGATGTTTATCCTGTATTTAATGAAATAGGATATGGATGAAATCAGATAGGGATGAAATCGTTTAGGGATGGCCGGGTTTAGAGATGGCTTTAACAGGTTGTACCATTAGCAATAGATGTTGTTTTTAAGAGTTTTAAGAGTTTAAGAGTTTTAGTCAAATGCTTTATAATATAGTATAGATAATATTTAGATCTAATATATATAATAAATGAAGTTTGTTTTTGACCCTTCAAGTTTCAGTATACACATTTAAATTTTAATAAGCCCAAGTTTCTTCAATACTTTAATTTAGTTGAAGGCCTACCCTTAAGAGTTATCATAGGCATGTTCAAGTCTTGTGTATCCGATACTCCAACCCGATGCTTAGCACCTCCCTTTTAGCGTTCTCGTATGCATTCAATCCAACCATCCAGGTCTAGCATAACAGTGCCCCTCCAACACTCTCGTTCGGTTCATGATTGTGTGGGTGGAACAAGGACTTGATGGACATCGTTGCTACAATATTTCACTTGGGCTTTGACCATTTTCCTTCAACTTCGAGTTTGGTTACTCAATTTTGAGGGTTTACTGAATTACTATGTGATTCTTGAATTGTTGGATTTATAACGACATGTATTTTACATATTATTGAGTTTAATATCGTTTATTTTAAAATTTGTTGAAGATTCACCGGAGCCAACTAAGCTTGTATGTCTAAACAAAGTCGTGTTAAAATCAACTTACATGATCTTCCTTCAAAATTTAATGTTCAAGACGAGTTTAAAGATCGTATACATTAAACTTCAGAGAGTTGCCCAGAATGGTACTAACATGCGGGAAAACATTCCTCCAAACCACGAATATTCTTGCACTCTTTTAATGTTGTGAAATCCAAAAGCAAAAGACAATATGAAGTAGTGGGTGCGGGTCATTGAGTGGACACTGGTCCACAACAATATTTATCATATTATTTAGAAATTCGTTTTTATTTATGTACAAGAAAAAACCAATTATATATTTAATATATTTCTAAAAGATAAAGTAAATTACAAATTCGGTCTATGTGTTTTTTAGGTTTTCTTTACAATTTTTTTTCCCGTAGTTTAAAAACTAAAGTTTAGCTATTATGGTACGTAAAAAAGTTGGAAGTTGGTCTCAGCACTGTTAAATAACAATAGTTAAAGAAGGGGCTTTTTAGCCTTTTCTCACTTGGTTTTCAAAATTAACGTTTAAAAGTTAACAATCAGTAGAAGAACAAATCAATTTGAACAGTGTTGTAAACCATGATGGTTAAGTTGTATGTTTTAAACTGTAGGAACAAAAATTGGGAAAAACTATAAAGCACAAGGATCGAACTTGCAATTTACTCAAAATATTATTGATTAAGTATAGAATTACGGTTATTAGCGAGATGAGTTAGGTTCCGATGAGAATTAATAAGAAGAGATCTCTACCATTTGATCAATCTTAATTGAATTTCAACACTAATGAGATGCACCGAGATAACCAGATCAATTCCCTTTTAAAGAGCAATTCATGAGATTAAAAGTGATCAATGGTTCAGATCTCTTCTTACTTTTCTCACCATCACTTGTCTTCTCACACGATCTTTCGCCTTAAAGAGAAAGATAGATTTAACCTAGTAAAAGGTAATAATTTTTGAAACAGATTAAGATACCATCTGAAAGTACTTAGAGCATCCACAATGGAGGTTCCTGTTAAGGTTTCTATTAGGGTTTATACTTTTTACATGAACCTCCACTGTAGGACATAGAATGTTGTTGTCCAGTCACAAGTTCTTACTCAGGTGTTTGAACAAGAACCCATGTTCTTTTATACATTTCTTTGATGTTATTATTTTATTTATTTCCTAACCATTTTATTTTCTTTTAATAAACTTATAAAACATACAAGTTAAAATTGATACAAAAATTATAAATTAATTATTATAAAATAAGTTTTTCAAATTTATTTTATTTTTCATTTCTTGCAAACTTTTATACAAGTTTTTGTATTAATAAGTTTAAAATTTGAAATATCTCACTTTATTATTATGTTTAGATTATCTTTCATATACTTATATATAAATCTTAAATTAATAATTGTAAAATATCTTTTCTGTTTTTAATGGATATTATTCATACACGCTTAATTTTGCATAATACGATCTTCGAAGATGAAGGTGACATGTTGATCAATTGGATCGATGAATAGTAGATAATTCAACATAAATATTTCAAAGTTCTACTCATGAATTTCAAGAATATCTTCAATGGAATTCTGAGATGCGCTCAAGTGAAGTTCATTATCAACTCCGCTCCAACGGCGTTTAATATATTTGGTTGAATCGAAAAACGAATGATTTATGTTATATTATTTATTATTTTGTGTTATTTTTTTTATAAAGATTAATGTTTGTATAATTTTGCAATTTTTTTATATATAGTATAGAATTATGTTTATGTTCTAATT